GGAGCTGGCTGAGGGGCAGGGGTGCAGAAGGAAGCATGTGTCCCAGTCAAGCTTAGACTCATCCAGCACTCCCACCCCCCACCCCGGTACTGGAACCCATGCACCTGCCCCTCCCCTGTGTCCAGTCACACGGGCTGGACCTGCCTCCTCAGTCCTCAAGTTAATGTCCATCAGGCCTGGCCACGTCCACCTGCTGCGGGGCCTGAAACTCAGGAGGTCCTCGAGGGTGCAGAATGTTAAGCCCTTGACTACTACCTAGAAGGTTAGCCATTTGAACCTACCTTGGAAGTGCCTTGTAAGAAAGGCCTGGCGATCTAAGTTTGAAAGGGCCATGGTCAAGCAAATGCTGCCTAGGGGGTCACCCTGAGTCCTAGTCCACTCAGTGGCAAGGCGATGGTTGTTAGGGGCCATGAGTCGGTTCTGACCCATAGCGGCCCATGCGTTGTACAATGGAGGAACTCCCTGGCCGGTTCCCGGCCATCTTCACAATGGGTCTTCCGTCCGAGTCCACGGCGGCAGCCGCGTGTCCATCTGCCTCACTCAGGGCCCTCCTCTTCTTGTCTCTATTCATTTCAGTCTCATGAATTGGGAGGGAATGCATACCCCACCATTCCACCGTTCAATCACGCCAAGCGGTCTGGTACCATCACCACAGTCCGTTTCCAAGCATTCGCTTTCTTCCCGGGCTCCTTGACATCCCAGCAGAGCCGCCTGGGAAGCAGTACCCTGGGAAGACACAATCCCAGAGTCGTGGCGTCTGAGGAGAGGCTGCCCATCCGTGGTCCCTCTTGGGGTCTGCTGCGGGGCCTGCGTGTGTCAAGGACGAGGGGGGGCTCAGGCCCATGTGAGGCTCCCAGCGCTCTGTGCCCCTGGCCGTGGAGTGTCCGATTCACCTGTGAGGTTGTTCCATCCCGTGGTCGCAGCCAGACGGAAGCAGACAGGACTCGGAAGGCTGCCCATCAGGACGGCATTAGTATTCTTGGGGGAGGGCCCGGGGACACCGTGTAGCCAGGGAGAAAATGGAGCTGGTTTATGAGCCACGGCCAACGTGATGTTGTACCAGTTAGAGTTTGCCTGGGGGCCAGAAATTCCACCCGAGCCTCTCAGGTGCCTGGGAACGGCTCCCACCAAGCTCAGGCTGGCCGGAAATACCTCCCACCCCCAGCAGCACACATGTCTGCTCACCTTCCAGGGGCATCCTCATTTGGGAGCAGACCCCCACCTTCAATGTCACAGGCACCCTCCCCTTCTCCACGGAAGCCAGGTCCCAGGCAGTAGAAGCATGCCGGGTCAGGGGGCAGGCCATGGGTTTATAGGAGACGGGGGTGGAGTGGGGTGGGTGTCGCTGGCTGGCTGCTAAGGTCTAGTTTGTAATGACAGTGAGGGCAAGGTCCCTCACCTTGCTCTTGGGGGAAGCCCTGTCCCCAGCTTGCCGGGCCCTGCCCCCGCCCTGTGCAGATGGGATCTCATAAATCGCTTGGGTGAGTTTATGGGCGAACTGGCTATAACTCCATCCGTCTGAGGGCAGAACTTGACACCTGGCTTGCCCGAAGGGTGCCCAGTTCCCCTTTTCCACGTTGTGCACTCTCTTCTGCTCCCGCAGCTGTGCCCCCACGGCAGCCCCCTCCCACCCTCCTAGCCCCTCACCCCTTGATGCAGCCCTGAGGTTCTGAGGAGAGGTTGGTGGCCACCGGGCACCACCACCAAGTTTTCCGACTTAGGAATGGACCACTCTGGACATTCTGGGAACGCCTGCTTCCCACTGGCCTGGTTTGAAGTACCTGGGCCACCCAAGCCTGGGGCCAGTGGCCTCCCTGTCTGTCCTGTCTCTAGTTCCAGCTGTCACTGGCGCCCATAGCCTCTGCCAATTAGTGGCCAACAGACTGGGCTCACTAGTGCTGGCTCACATCTGGCAGCCAGATCCTGCTCGCCGAGGGCCTGGCCCAGTGTTGGCTGGCAGCCTGAAGGCACGGGGCAATTCTTCAGGTTGCCAGTGACTTTCCAGGGTCACTAACCTGGGATTGAGAGGACGACTATGAATTTGAG